ACATTAATATAGACAAATGTTAGCGATAACTACCCACACCTTTTGCAAAAGGACGCATACATTCAAATGCTTTGCGATTAGACGCAACGACTCGTGCAGACAATCAATCATTCAAATGTTTAACCACTGCAAACATTTGAATGTTTAAGCCTAAACATTCAAATGAATGTTGCTCGATAAGTTTCGACATGTTCGTTCACACAACAACCCAATAAAATTCTACATTCCCACTACATTCCCACACTGATAGAAGATTAGATACATATAATGTAATGTTTCAAAATAAATGGTAGAGTTCTATACTTTTAGGCATTACATCAATTACTTCATTCTTTTCTTCATTTAATTTCAAAAGGGAGACCAAAAAGGATATAAATTTCAACTATTTACAATTTTTTTCACTTTTCATCATCTTTTTCAACATTTTTCATAATTTCCGTAAAACGAAATACTCTATAAGATTCTTGCAAAGACAGAGGAGTAGGAGTAAATTTTTTTAAAAAAACAAAGAGCACGAAAGCAGAGCATCACCTGACCTGACTACCAATATCCTTTGCAGGAGCAAGATCCGTTCTTGAAATGATGGAAACGGCTCGAATCTCTCAAAATGATTTCATGATCAACGATCTTAGAAATATACGTGATGGCCAAATGGCAGTCCCCACAGACACGGAGGTTCTTCGTTATCCTAATGGGCACCCCAGGGGCAGATGTGAGAATCCCATAAGCCAATGCCAACTTCTCGCTGTGTTCAGAGAGCAGGTCCCCCTTCTCCTCATCATCCACATCGTGTAGGGCAAAGCTGATTTCTGGGACATACCCCATCCCTTTGGCACGGCCGATCAAGTCTGAGAGGAGATTGTGTATTTCATGAGACATTGGGTGACTTCTGTCTCCCACAAAGAACACTGAAGTCCCTTTCTTTCCTTGAACCCAGCTGCACCCAGGTCTCTTCTTGATCCCAGAGTGTTTCATTAGAGACCTTACGCGGGCCACGTCTTTCCAACGTTTGGCGTTCGCGTATATGTTTGAAAGTAGCGTGTAGGACCCGTCGTTCTCTGCTTCTAACTCTGACAGTTTGGCTGCTGCGTGTTCTGCAATGTCTACGTTCTTATGAACCCTGCAAATAGACAGTTGTAAGGGGATTGCATAGTTTCGATTCTTGGGTTGAATTTGTACAGCACAATACAAATTCAAAAATAAAGAATAAGGGTCCCATTGTCCCAATAAGATTGTGTTTTGAGATTTGAATACTTAGATTTCATTTGATAACTTAGATTTCAATTCTAAAATTTGAATTCTTGAATTTCATATTTTAAGGGGGAATTATAGATTTGTAATTGAGAATTAGAGGAATATGGCACAAAACCAAATCCAGAATTTTTGGATTCCTAAATATGTAATTTGAGTCAAATCTGGATTTGAAATCAAAATCCAAGTTCCCAAATAGGCCATAAGAGTATTCAAACTATGAATAACATACTCAAAACCATACTCATTCATCTTTGCATTTGGAGTTTGGACACTTCTGCACCACGGAGCAAAAAAAGAGTGCATAATTTCAAATGTTGATACCCATTTTTATTTTTATTATTGTTGAGAATATTTGAACAATAAAGGATAAAAATACGAATATAAATGTATATTTCAATAAAGATATTCAACAGAAGGTTTTAGCGTTGTTTATTCTTGACCAAATATTTGTGAACTTCTGGTTCTAAGATACAATTGAGAAAATACAAGACAAACTTTTTCCCCATTTCCCCTCCTTATTTCATCTTCCTAACCAATCAAAGAAACATCTTTTCCCATTTCCCCTCCTCATTTCATCTTCCTAACCAATCAAAGAAACAAGTGTGTACAAAAACTCATCCAACTTTCTAGGGTATCATAGAAATTCTGAAAAGAATATGAATGAATGAATGAACTGTACCTGCAAGCACTGAGCAAAGAGAACCAAATTATTGAGGTGGGGTCCATGGGCATGTCGCGTATCAGCTCCAGTGCTTCATCCAAACGACCGGCACGTCCCAAAAGGTCAACCATGCAGGCATAATGTTCAATCTCAGGAACGACTCCGTGATCTCTCCTCATGTTGTTGAAGTAATCCATCCCATTGTCAACCATGCCTGAATGGCTGCATGCATACAACACGACCAAAAAAGTCACACCGTCGATCTCTAGGTCTCTCTGCTGCATTGTTTCAAACACTCGAAGAGCATCCTCTCCCCGGCCGTGCATTCCATATCCCGTCATCAGCGAGGTCCAAGAAACAGTGTTCCTGTGGGCCATGGTATCAAACACTGTTCTCGCTGTATCAATGTCACCTGCTTTTGCGTACATGTCAATGAGACAATTAGACACAAACAACATCCAAGTTTCACACTGGTTGCGCAAAATGTACCCATGAATCTGCTTGCCAGCCCTGAGAGAAGACAAACGGGCAGAAGCCATCAAAGCACAAGATAACGTGAACCCGTTCGGTATTAAAAAGGAACGATTTTCCTTCATCATCAATGAGAAGAGTTTCAATGCCTCGTTGGCATCTCCGTGCTGGGCGTATGCACCAATCATGACGGTCCAAGTCACTATATTACGGTCTCTCCATTCAATATTGTCAAAGATGGCACGCGCCACCTCTACATTCTTGCACTTTGCATACATATCTATAAGACTATTAATGCCCATTTTATAATCCTCGTCGGTCTCATTATCCCCCTGCTGACTCAAAATCTGTTTGATGGCATAGCAATGAGTCTCTTTCCCTTGATTCAATGCTCCGACAGAAGCACAACCAGATAGAACAGAGGAAAGGGTGACAACGTTAGGGTTTGTCCCAGAAAGGATCATTTCCCGGAAGACATTAAGAGCTTCATATCCAAGGCCCCTCTGGGCATACCCTGCAATTACAGCACTCCACGTGATAACATTCAAATCAATCTCTTGTTGTCTCATTCTTTCAAACAATCCTAACGCCTCGTTGAATTTCCCAATCTGGGAGAACCCAGTGACCATTGCATTCCAAGAAACCACATCTTTCACCTCCATACGTTCAAACACTTTGTTGGCCTCATTCATTTGCTCACACTTGGCATACATGTCCACGATGGCATTACCCACAAAAACATCCTCGTATAAACCTGAACGAATAGCATATCCGTGGACTTGTTTGCCTAGCTTCCATTCCCTTGTAGGAGCACACGCCGGTAGCACATTAACTAAACTAATCACGTCAGGGCGGAGTTCAATATTGCATCTTGAAATCATGGAACCAAATAGCCCCAAAGCTCTCCCGAATTCTTTACCATGCACGTAAGCAGCTACAATGGAGTTCCACGAAATGACATCGTGAATTCCTCTCACAACCGTTTCGTTGAACACCTTGTGTGCGTGACCCAGAGCGCCACACCTCCCATACATTGCTATGGCACTGTTGCAAACGTAGACATTGTTGTCATTCCCAGTCACCAAGCAGAAAGCGTGGACAGACTCTCCAATACGTAAGGAGGAGAGCTCCCCACAAGCCTTGAGCACGTAAGGGAGAGTGTACCCATCTGGGGCCCACTGCAGCCTCACCATCTCGCGGAACAGGGAAACAGCATGGTCGTAAAAGCGAAGGAAGACGCATCGCTTGATCAGATTGTTCCACCAGAAAACAAGATGCGGATCGGCGGCGCCGGAAACAATGAACTTGGCCTTGACACAAGACTTGCATCGTTTCAGGAGTTGGGAGAATCTGGAAGGAGTTGAGGTTGTTGAAGAATATAAGAGGTGATTAATTGTAGAAGGAGCGCGGCAGAGGATGCTGGAGTGTGGAGGTAGGAGCTTCAGACACAGTGAGGAAGAGAAGAGCATGCCCTACAACCTCCAGTTCTCAAGAATGATAGATTGAAATACAGAATGGTTTTTGCCTTGAAAAATGGATAACCAGATGATGAGTTTTTGCATTACAAGAATGACAGATGAGTCCTTCAATCTCTTTTTTTTGCCTATCAACTCAACCTATTTGATCTTTAGATATCACTTTGCTCAATTTCAATTACATTTAGCATCCGTTTGGTACATGTAGCCAAATTCTATGGAATTCATTTGAATGGAATTGAATTCTCCAGTTTCAATTTATTTTTAGCACTACCAATTCCAAATCCACATATTTTTGTGCTGCTAAACAGCAGAATTGTTGTTTGTTGTCCTTAATTCTAATTCCATAGTTTGAATTCCATGTACCAAACGGAGCCTTATAGTGCTCTTCTAATCTAATTTGTTACCTCATCAAGGAAAAAAAGTTAGACTGGTCCCTATTAACTTACTAATGCATTTCCTTATCATAGTCAAAACTTTAAAATTCATATTTTATATATGACATTCCTATATTTGATATATACTCAAAAAATGTGTAATAGAATTATAGTCAAAAACTTCAAAATTTCAGATATGCTTTCATCTTTATAACATTTCCAGCATCATTCATTGATCCACATAATCAAATTCAAAACAGGCAGCATTTTTCTGATTTCAATTTACATGAATTCCTCTTAAATTGCATAAATGCTTCTAATTCACACAAATTCTTCGAACTTACAAGCTTCCTAGCTGAAAATTTATACAATTTGGGGAGAATTATTTTTACCACAATTTTTTCAAAAAAAAAAAAGGAACAATTACTTATTCTGCAGTTGACTGATTATATTTTTTAGAATACATAATAATTGGGTTAATTAAGAAACAGGAATCGTCTTCTTACCTAGAGACCGGAGGGGCGCAGTAGGAGCGGGAGGGCTGAGCCGCAGAAACGGTCTGCTGGGTGGTGTGGTTTACGCTCCTTGACGTCGCCGGCAAGTGGGGTGGCGCGGTCGGGCGGAGAGAGTTCACAGTGTGTTAAAAGAGGGTATTTGACTTACATTTTGAATTTTGAAAAGGATTAAGTTATTTCTATGTCAAATATTGTACCCCACTTTAAGATTTATGTACCAATACTATAACTTAAGTTTGTACTTTATCAATAATGAAACTTTAATAAACAAAACTGGATGTTGTAAAAAATCTCTCAAACAAAAATAATACAAAAAATACGAAGTATCTGTTTATCAAAACAAACTGAAAACATCAAGCCGGTCCTAGTTCAAAAATGGTACCCAGGTGTGAAGGTTAACCTGGATCAACTGAATGATATACCCATTTGGATACAGCTGCCTGACCTAGACATGAAATACTGGAGCCTGACTGGTTTAAGCAAGATTGGAAGCTTGGTGGGTAAACCAATCAAACGAGACCGCCCTACTGCCAATAAGACTAAATATGCTTATGCAAGGATACAGGTGGAAGTTAAAGTCCAACAGGAGTTCCCTATGATGGTTAGCTTTATAGATGATGAAGAGAGAGTGAGGAACCAGCAGATCAGATATGAATGGTACCCTTGTATGTGCTCTCAGTGTGGGAAATTGGGACATGTGCAGGAATCTTGCAGGAAAAAGGGAAATAAACCTCATGAAGTAAGAAGGAAGTTGGTATGGAAACCCAAACAGGGGGAAGTAGAAAAGGATCCAGCATCTGAAATAGCAAAGGAGCCTGAGACTGAAATGGAAAACAAAAAGGGAGCACCAGAGATTGCTCTTGAAGAAGAATTTAAGGTGGTTACTGGAAAGAAAGCAGGGAAACCTAAGATGGTGGAAAGTAGTGAAGGGTCTGGAATAGAAGCCTTAATGAGGGTTATGGAAAATGCCCCATATACTGGGCATTATCCTTTCCTAACATGATTGGGAGCTGGAACATAAGGGGATTAAGTAGCCCCTTGAAACAGGAGGAAATAAAGAGAGTAATAAATAAATATGGTATTGGATGGATGGGCATACTAGAAACTAAAATAAAGGAGAAGAACTTTGTTGGGATTGAGGATAAAATGTTTAAGGGATGGGGATCGTTTATAAATAGTGAAGCCCACCCTCTTGGCAGAATATGGGTGGTCTGGAACAAAAACAAATATGAAGTACAAATTATTGATTGGAGTGATCAGCTGGTTCACTGCAAAGGAAGAGTTATTGGGGAGACCCAGGAATTTTATCTAACTTTTGTGTATGGGCACAATAATCCACAAGAAAGGAAAGGACTCTGGAAACACCTGATAAGATTAAGTGCTACTATTCAAAATGGATGGGGGATTATTGGAGACTTTAATTCTGTTCTGTGCTTGAAGGACAGAATTGGGGGGAACAATATTACTGAAGAAGAAACAAAGGAATTCAAGGATTGTATGGCAGCTTGTGGAATGGAAGAAATTCCCAGTGAAGGCAGCTACTATACTTGGAACAACAA